TAAGATGTCCAAGAAAATACTAAGTTTCTTACCAAAACCTTGAAGTTTTCCTACACCTTTCTTTTTCTTCTCCTCTTTTTCTCTCTCTAGATCACTCATTCTATCTCTAAGCTCTTAGAAGATGGAAGAATGAAATGGAAGACAGGGGTCCCTATTTATAGAAAATAGGGACTGTTAAATTTACGCTAAGTGGCAAAATCTGGTGAGGAGAGAGAAAGTTGAGTGAAAAAAGAATGATGTGACACAACGCAACAACAGAAAAAAAAATAGAGGAAGAACCTCCCAACCGGCGATGGCTCACCAACTAAGGTAGTGGTGACACACTGCCCAAGGCAATAATGACACACCACCCAAGGCAATGCACGACGCTCAAGGGGCAGCGATACACTGCCTGAGAGAGCAGCGCACCTCCCTAAGTCGGTCCCAAGCTGCAGGCCTAGCCTGCAAGTGTGCTGGCCTATCCTGTAGCCCACAGGGCCTACAGCACACAAGCCTACTGCGTAGGCAGCGGGCGCACAAGGGGCACTGTGCCTAGCTTGTCTGTGTGCAATGTGACACATGTAGACTGGCTTGTCTCCGCACAATGGGATGCGCGCGCAGACCAGTCTCGCGCCCCGCGCGAACAGGACGTGCGCACGTCCTATGCTGGCCGCACGCACGCACGCGTGCCCGGCATGCAATACTGCTCAAGAGAATTTTTTCCATGGGCGTTTTCCCACGAGATTTCTGCTCCTTATTCTGTCTTTTCTCCTGAAATTTATTTTTAGACAAAAATAATAAAATTGACAAAAATAACGAAATTATAATTTCTAAAATGAAATTAAAATCACGAATTAAATTTATAAAATAAGATATAAAATTATGAGATAAATTTAAAAGAGTTCATGTGGCCTTAAAGCCCGAATAAATAGAGGTTTCCAAATACAAATTTAGCGTGGAGGTTAGCGGGATGTTATAACAACCTTATCTACGAAAGCATTATAATAATAATAAAAGAAATAATCTTTAAATAAAAGATAAATTCTTCTCTTTTGGAGGTTTAGAGGACTTCGAATCCAACTTGAATATCCTTCTTCTTGGCTTGAACTTTTAATTTTTAATTAATTTTAATGTTAAAGATTCTAATTTAAAGATGATTAAAATATCATAATTAAAATAAGAAAATGATGAAGAATTCAGCTAAGAGAAGGGATCCTTGGTCGAATCCTCCATGGACTCTAACTCCTTCGTTCTTTGTTGAAGAAATTGCCTTTTTTAAGTATGCATCCTAAGCCATATGAAAGTCCTTTTTTTCTTACTAAATCAAGTCCTAAGAGGACTTTCTTAGTCAATCTTGAGAGGAAAAGTTGGCAAGTAAGTCTAGTTCCTCTCAGTTAGAATCCCGTGCTGGCAGGATTGTTTTTCTTATTGCCTGCAATTTTTCTCCCATCTAGACTCCAATTTGAGCTCTTCTTGGACTCTTCTTCCTTAGTCATTCATCATATCCAATTTGGACTCAAAGATTTCCAAGATACCAAAAGGAGAAGTCTGTTGAGGAAAGATGTCCTCATGGGGTGAGATATCCGTATGAGTAGGACTTTCCTCTCCCCATATCCCTTAGCCATATATGGAATATTTCAAGATCACACAAGGATATAGGCCTCTTCTTGAATCTTTATGGGCCTCTAAACTTAATTTTTCATTAATTCAATCTTAAACAAAGAAAATTGAAAGCTTGTTGAAGTTTTTTGGACCCTGATCTTGTTATTGGGCCTATGGGCATTATGATTCTTCTTTCAAGGTCTCTGAGTCCATCTTCTTGAAAATTCTTGGGTTGATCTTGATGTTTGGTTGGTGTAGGATGCAACTTTGGGCCAAAACTTGTAATTTCCTCATTGTAGAACTTGCAGGAGTCCTCGCGAGATAAGGACTCTCCTTTCTCAAAGGAAAAATCCCCCATCTCGTAAAATAGCTGCTTCATGTGGGTGCAACTCTTCTCTTGCATATGCGAGTGTCCTTCTGTGCACTTTATGCGTTCGTGGGAATCATCATATGCACAGGGATCTTTTTCTATGTGGTTGGCTCCCATGTAGGTAGACTCGCGAGCTTGGTCGTGGGAATATCCTCAAGTGTCTGGGAAATACTCCTCTTAACTAGCCTACTCACATCAATTTCAATATATTACATTAGTTAATGTTCTTTCAATATCCCAATAAGCACCTAATTGTCCAATATAATAAAACACTAAATAAAGAAGAGAACTTGGAGCAATCTTACGAAAAGAGGCCAAAAGCTAAGTTTGTCTTTAGTAGGTCATTTTAAACAATTCAATTTATCAAAAGGAAATCTCAATACTCAAAATGAATAATTAGATGTCTATTACAAAATCCCCAAAAATAAGGTCAATCTAATGGTAGATAACATCTAGATCATCTCTAAAAAATGAAGACTCAAATTAAGAAGCTCTTTCTTTCTTTTCTCTCACAAATCTCTCTCTTTTTCTCTATAAAGTGTCTATAGTAGAAAAATCCTCAAAGACCATCATAGATGTGTCTTTTAAGTCTTATAGGCAACTATTGGAAATTTACCAAAAAACCATTAGTGAAATGATATTAGACTTCTAATTGGGCTATAACAAAGCAAACCTAAAAAAATTTCACATTCTAAAACATATGGGTCATCCTCCACATAGGAATGACACCCCAACACATCTTTCTCTCTTTTTCCCTCTCAGTAATCACCTCTACTCTCTCCTTCATCTTTCTTATTTTTTTATTCACCCCCATCTCCTCCTTTAAGTTTGAAAACTCCTTTTTTTTCTTCCTTATTCTCATCTTTTTCACTATTCTTTTTTTATCAATATTATTTTCTATGTGAGATTCTCTATAACTTCCCCCCCCCCCCCCCCCCTCTTTATGCATCTTTTTGTCTGACTCTATCATGTTGGCTCGATGTACATTGATCTAGCTCCATCCCTCTTTATCTATATACCTTTCTATAACTTTCTTTTGGTTGTTGGTTGAAGTAGAATAAAAAAGAATTAAATAAAACGATGTTGTTCGGGAGGAAATAGGTTGGTGCGCAGGTTGGGCCCTTAGATTTAATGTTGGGCTAAAAAATAGATGTGGCATATGATTTTTGGTTTGTTATGTTTGGATTATTTTGATGAGCAATTACATTAAATGGAAAAGGTTGGGCTTGAAAGTTTTACATTTGTTGAATGTTTTAGAAGCATGAAAATTGGAAGTAGTTGGGATTAGTAGAGGATTAAGTTTAGAGCTTTTTTTAATTTTTAATTTTTATTTTTATAATAATAATAGTAATAATAATATTGTAACAGATTTAATATACTTAATTTAAAAATAAAATTAATTCAGATAAAATTAGAATATTACATATATATATAATTTATTTTGAGTGATTATCATAATCTCTACTATATACACAAAAAGTATTATCATTTGAAAACTTGTGCTTAGTTTATTCATGATAGTCCGTAATGGAAGAGCCACCATAATTGATGGCTAACGTATAATTTTGTTACTTAGGTCGATTTATTATATATTGTGCAAATGATTAATTTTTTTTTTCATTTGTTTTGGTAAATTAATGTAATGTAATAATCTAATATGTGTTTATGTTGCAAATTTGCCTAAGATATAGTCAAGCAGAAATGACAGAGGAACATGTGAAAAAAATGAAGTACTAGGGAAAATAAGATTTAGATGAAGAGATTGTAGAAGTGAGGTTATTAAGATTATGATTATTATCTAAATTTAATTATTATATATTTACAAAATAATTAGTTATATATTTAGATTAAAAATTATGTTATCTACAATTTAAAATCTTCTAAAAATTAAAATTTTGTAGTAACAATCTAGTAAAAAGTTACATTAAATTAAAATATAGAATTCAAGTTTTGCATAATACATAATTAAACATTTTAGTACAATATAATATTTGTGTACATAATAGAAGATAAAAATTTAATAATAATAATTATTATTATTATGATGACAATAACATTAGATATTAGAGGTCTGATTAAGAAATTGAATACTAAAGCACGAGTGAGATAAAAAGACATTTATAAAAGTATTGAACTACAGAATTAACTAATCAATTTAAAATTTATCCGCTAAATTAAAAAAAAAAAATGAATGACTGGGAATTTCCGAGGACAGATGAAGATGTCCTTCTCGCTCTTATCATCTTTATCTGCAAGCAGAATGCGTTGAGTTGTTGCACGCGTTGTATGCGCGTGCGTAAACTAATAGACAAAATAGTTGATGTAAGTGGGCCCCACCGAGCCTTAATATGACTACGTGCTGGCCGTTGATATCCATGCCACGCGCAAATCTGACGGAGGAGATTCAGAGTCAGAGACCTTGACAGGTACTTTGACCAGTCCGGAAACATGCTTAAAAAAAATTAATTTTCCAACTTTGACCGGCCTGTCACTTCAATGGAGGCGCTCTTCGTTGAACATCGAGGTAACACTTAATTTACAATTTTGACCCTCCACCACCAATTTCTGTTTTATTTTATTTTACATGAAAATTATATATTATAGCAACATCCTATTTTGTTAGCAAAATTATTTCAATTAATATTCCAATAAATTCCAATTTAGCTTTAGCCTTTAAAATTGTAATGTTTTAAAGATATATTAAATTTATTTGTTTTAAAAAAATTAGAAATATTTATTTAATTAATTTGTTTAGTGAATAGAGTATGTTTGTATTAATTTTTATAGATCAAAATTAATATTTCATGTAATTCAATTAAAATCAAATATTTAGATGAAATTAAAAAATTAACCAAAATCTTCAAATTTTTATTTCAAAAAAATTAAACTCTAAACATCCTAAAAATTAGTTGTTTTTAAACATGGAATAAAAAAATAAATAGAGGAATCAGAAGGACAGAAGAGTCCAAAAGATAATAAGAAGCCAATTTCTGTTGTGTGGAAGTAATAATGATATGTTTTAAATTAGTTGTTAATTAAATCCGGGTTTTGTTTGGTTTGACCACTGCTCATTTCTCCCTTTCGCCTTCGTGCCACTGTCTCTCTCTCTCTCCCATTTTTACTATTCTTCTCATCTCTTTTTTCTCTCCCTCAAAACTCTCTCTCACTTAGCTTTTGCAATTTGCCATATTTGACTTGTTGAGCCTCTAATCAGGCACTCCAGGATTCGTTTTGCTTAGCTCAATTCGTCTACAGGGACTTGTATGAGCTGCTTTTTCAAGGTTTGTTTACGCCTTTTCCTTTTTTTGGTTAATTTGGTAGCCATATTTTTCTCTCAAATTTCGTAAACGAGATTTCTCCAGAAAATCCTCTACATAGGTTTGCTTCGATTTGGTTTTTAGTGCTATTTGGCTGCTTGATTTGTTTTTGTTACGTAACCTTATATATTTCTTCTGCTGGCAATTTTGGAGAGATTATTTTCCCGGTAAGCTGATGAGGTGATGTTTGAATTCTGTTTTTTACTAAATTTTAGATTTTGATATCTATTGGATCTACTTTTATTTTATCTTTATACCCATGGGGAAGGTCTGATTCATGGTTGTTGTATTATTTTGTGTTAGCATTGATGAATATATATGCCTTTACTCTTTTTTCTTTTGTTGTTGCGATTAGGTTACCTGGTTGGAATTTTTTGCCTGGGTTTAGGGTTTCAGATGATATACCTAGATTTTGCATTTTCAAACAATTGCTTTTATTAACATGAGAGATGCAATTGCAGCAGTCGAGTTAGCAAAGAACTAACAAAACTTGGTTGCAAATATGCGCTAACCGATTATCCATCAGCACACGGGTTTATTAGCTTCAATGATTTACCAGAAGTGGTTTCAAAATTTTCCTATTAAAGCCGATAAGTTTTATCAAAAAATTATTAGGGTATTGAATTTCTTTTTTATCTATTTTTTATACCGCTAGGCTTCGTCCTGAGTGCATATGTTGGCTTGTAAGTAGTGATTTGAAGGTGAGTTCAGATTAGCATCTTTGCAGAGGTCCATGAACGCGTGTATAGTTTTGTGCTGAAACACTTCGAATTACAAACTTGAAATGATATATTTTGTTTGGTAATTTTGTTGATTAGCTTATTTTAGATATTTCATAATTAATGAGATTTAGTTTCATTTGGCAATTAATTGAGTAATTAGTTTTGATTACTTTTGCAGGCAGTCGGTCAATTGCTTAATTGTTGGATATCACACAGTTATTGTGATTTAACTCTGTTTAACGATTGATTGATTATCTTATTGGTTAGTGTGGATGTACAGTTAGCTTTTTCATGTATGCTAATGCATGTGTCTTGAAGTAGGATTTTTTGTCAAATTATTTATGTTCTTTGTTGTGACTTGCTAAGTTTTGTCTATTTCAATCATATCCTCAATTATGATAAAGCTCTTGGTAATAATTTCATTATCTTTTGTTTTGTATGTCATCTTAAATGAAATTCTAGACCTGTATAACATGGAGACATCAATTGGTATGTAATTCATCCGCTGTTTTTTTTTCCTTTGGCAGAATTCAAATTTATCAGTGCAGCTATAGATAATTTGCGCACGAATGGGCTGTTTCACAGTTTTAAAAAGTAAAAAGAAAAAAACTGAGCAGATAGTTTACACCAAACGCCCTGATCCTAAGGAGCAAATGCCCACTACACTGCCTGAACCCCAACTCCCCACTCGCTCCCTGCAGTCAGCACCCCCAAGTTTTAGGACTAGAGTGAAGCCCATTCAACAAAATAATAAGGTCAACAACAACAGAACAAGAGCATTGTCTGCCCCATC